CATACATTCATCTCCATTAAGAAACAGATTGTTACTTTTTTAAAATGTAAACGGTACCCATGATGTGTATCGTTGCCGTTGGCTCGATGCTGGATTAAAAATAGATATTCTGGTCTTGCTGATTTTGTGTGTCCGATTGGGCTCGATTCAGTCCAATTGATGCTACATTCAAATACAATACTTGCAGTATAGTTGTAGACATCCCAAGTATGCGTAGATTTTTAAGCAATTTTTTGTACCACGAAGCAGTCTCGAACTTCCTTGATATTTTTCCGATTTTAATCAAAATATCAAGAGGATAAATATTTTGGTTCATGACGGCATTTGGGTGGTGTGCTATTAATAGCGACACGTGAATTTTGAGCATTGATGCGAGATCCATTTTAGCAAACACACTTAAAAAAACCTCGAACATATGTTGAGGTCGTCAAAAAAACATCACTAAAAAAATGTCTCTCATTCGATTTTGCGGGATATTTCAATTTTTTTCATTCAATTCATCTTTTAACAAGCACTACTGTACACACACACACACACATCTTTCGCCATATCTTTTTTCATTTCCTTTTCTCTTTCGCATTTCCGAAACGTGGAATTTATTTATACATTTAATACCATTGATGGCAAAAATATTTTGATGTTCCATAAAAAGAATCATATCTTTTTTCATCAACGGGCATAAATTTCAATCGTTCTTACCAGTTGTATAGAATTCAAAATCCAAGCACGTGATGTACGTACACGTGACTATTCCTAGAAGGTTAGCATTCTTTTGCAGTTAAACCGGTATAACGCTTGGGTCGTCATGGTACCAAGTGTACTCAAAGAGGCCCATAAATATGATTTAAGAAAAGTCATCTCGTCGTTTTCATAAAAAAAAAAATTGTATGGTCAAATTATAATGAATGATGTACAAGCGAACACATTGAATTCACATAAACGATAACGTTTTGTTCGTGATTTGTATAATGTACGAATTGATATATTTTGTGGCTTTTATCTATAATATTATGCATACAAAGTGATAAATTACTTTGAGGAAAAAATGCACAGTAGCACAAATCACATTCAATTAAGTCTGTAGATTATTTTTCTGAAATAGTCACGTTTGAAATCTTAAATAGAACTTTTTCAAATAAACAAACTACCACTATTCATTTGTTGGTAAAACTTCCAAAACGAATAAATGCTATCATTAACGAGAACTTATAAATATTTCTGTCGTTTGTTAAATCTTTTAAAATGCACGAGAAAATAAATAAATATTTTGTTTGTAAAAGGTATTTGAATTGAAATGACAGACATTTTTCGAAAATAGGTAATAAAAATGTGAATTTGTGTTCTGCATATTCGCGAGTTTTTGAAAGTTTATAAATTCAATATTGTGCAAATAATGTGTTAAATTTGAATTCAACAAAGTATTAAGCTTCACCAAATATTTTTTCACATGTATATCGCACAGAAGTTACAATAATTTGTCGAGCGATTGTTTGTTGATTTGTGCAATTAATTCATAAAATCCGATTTTGCCGGATGTTTTCCATAAATCAATTTTCGTATCATTTCTACGGTTTGGCGTTAAGAATCTTTATAAAGTCAATAAAAATTTACGATATAAGTACATCAATGTCGACAAGTCAAAGTAGGCAATACAAAAAAATTCCATCGATTTTTTTTTTCAACTAACTTAGTTATTGTGAGTAGGCTTGTCGGATTTTGAACATTTATTTTTGGGAAATTCCTTAAAGGGTCACCTCAGCTGGAGTAAGACTATGCTTTGAAGATAATGTGTCTCTCTGCAGTGTTCATGATTTGAGTTTTTGAAATGAAATGACACAAAAATATCAAATTCTGCAATTGAAATGTCAATATATTACGGAATTTCCCCCAAAAAAATGCTCCAAAGTGAACAAAATCCGACAAGCCTAGTTCTGAGTTTCATTTCATCACATTCGCAAATGCATCTTGAAACAATTCAGTATGTTTTACATAAAAAAAACAGTAGATCGTAGATTTCGCAGCGCAACTTCGGAGATGGAAAGAAAGATAATGATGGTATTCAGCGCAAACTAAGATGAGTGTGCAAATTCTCATTTGTTTTTTTTGTTTCGATCAAAATGGCAAATAGCAACTGTGCTCGAAATAAAAAATAAAAAATTAACATTGATCATGATTCATGAAGTTCCTTTGGTCAGACTCAATGTTGAGTAACACAAAACGTTTTGATTACATAAGCATTTGCTTTGTTTTCATTGTGTCTCCAACTTAATTACAAACATATCATCATTGTTTGCTAGATAAGGTTCTATACGTTCGTTTGATAATTAAATAATAAATAATGTGCATTACAGGATGTATGTAATTTGGTTGAAGAAAGGATAAGCGTCATTTCGAAGAAATTAATGAATATTTCAACTTGTTGATAAACATGTTTGAATAAAATGTTCAAATAGCACTGATGTTCAATAGAAACAACATCGAATGAGAAGTGACACAATGTAAATGGTAAATTTGTCGGTTATGCAATTTTCACATCTGCAAACATAAAAAATGTTATTTGTTGATTCGAATTATTCCCTGCACAAATGTTTGATATATCGAAAATTTGGTGAATATGTTCGATTGATCAAGCCAAATTGACAATTTGATTTTTTTAAATGTATTCGAGAAACACGTGTTTGAAGATGAAATGATAATTAAAAACTAAAAATATGGCATTTTAAATTTTAATTCCATAATCGAAATGTATCTTACCAGTATTGTAGTAATTTTGCGGTTATGATTTGACAACTATGCTATGGATTTGATAAGTCGAACATTGTCCATTTGTTTGGTATTTGTTGCGATGGCAAAAATATAATCAGAACACATGTACACCAATACATGCGGAATACGGTGTTTCGGCAGATTATTGTTTCGAAATTAATTTCAATATCATGTCAATTTATGCTAAAAAAATGCTCGTCATCGTAAAAGTCCGTACAATAGTCGTGGTTTGAGCTCTTTATCTCTCTCTTTCTCTTCAATATCTTATTTAAATTACACCGAACAATGATTGCAAAAATGATATAATGTTTCGTTGTTATTGCACTTCTTTCATATTTATAGAACGATTTTTTGCTGTCATTTTTTCGTTCAATCAATATGCGACACAAGAAAATCGTGTGATCAAATTGTCGATACCAAATTAAAAAAAAAATTCCAAAAAATATTGAACAATAACCGAAAAGAACTCTTTGCATAAGCACACAATAGAAATGCAAACACACCAAAAAAAAAGAGTCGTTTGTCTGAATATCAACTATGAAAACACACACGAAAAAAAAAGAAAAAAAAAATTAAGCGACGATCATGAAACGATATCACAATTCACTGTGACTTTGTCAAGCACTTACTTACAACGAACTGAATCGCGCACGAGACATAAACAATGGTTTTGTTTAGTTCTTAAAAAAAAAAAAAAAATCGAAAATGCAAAGGAACACAAAATGAAACGAACATTAAAGGAAGAATGTGTATTTGTGATCTAGGCGAACGCTTATGTTGTCACATTCTGTCAATTAACATCGACTCTAAATCATTTATTGGCTTTAAACAGTAACAAAAATAAAATACGACTTTCATGTTCATTGTAAAGCGGCCGAATGAAAATTGTATGCGAGAAAGAGCGGTGAAACGAAGCTGCGATATAGCGCTACAGAGGCCAATGAAATAGAATCGTACAATACACAATTTGTTGTAGTTGTTGTTGTTGTTGTTGTACCCGTCATATATACGTATGTGAGTGACAAGAACTTAGCAAAAGCAACCATATGTTGAAAGAAGAAATATGCGAACAGCACACGCTTGCAAACACATACACGTTTACAATTTGTTCTTGTACACACTCACAACCTCAAGTTCAGATCGTTCACAATAAACACACAAACAGGCTCTTCAATAAATTTCCGAAAAAAAAAAATTATGCAAACATATTTGTTTGAACCAGTTGTATGAGTATGCTCAGAGTTCGCGCGCGCCATGTAATAATGAGAATTCACCGATTATTTTATCGGTTTCATTGTTCATGCATTTTCACCGAATAACTAAATGATAAGGAGCCGCACATTTTTTTATTTTGTTCTTCTTTCAAGTGAAAGGAACCAATCAAAACATATTTTTCACTATCAAAAAGGAAATAAACATGCATAGACTCAGACACTGCTGATTGTACATATTTTTTGGATAAATTATAATTCACTGAAGTGTGTCAAAAAAAAAAAAAAATCCGCGTAAAATGAAGTTTTTAATGACTTTTTTCCCATTTTTATGTGCGCTGTACCATGTAAACCACAAAAGTGCTTGAAACGCCGATATTTCATTTTATTAGAATAATCAGCATCTCATTTATGTTCTATATTCAAGACGAATAACTCAACGGCAGTTGTATGCCCAAATTTAACCCAAAATATCAGTAGGCATAAGTAATACTATGCCCGAATGCATGTAGTGTAACGCGAAAAATCTTGCACATACATGTCCTAAATGGAGCCATGTTTATATGAGAAAGATAGGCACAGAAAGAATGAAAAATTGATCTTATGCGCTGTGCTAACGCACGATTTACTAAATGAACAGAAAAAACTGCTCTCTTTTTCGCCTTGTATTTGAGTACGCATTTGCAATACTCGTTTTCGACTGACTCATATTTCGTTATGAGTTGTAAACATGAACTTGATATGATTTTTTTTTTTGGTGTGTGCGTTAAGTGTATTTTCGTCCGATTCCAAAATGATTCCCACTTGGATAAAAACATCTGGCTTTTATGTGCATGTCATTATATGGCTTAAATTTGTCTAACTATAAATAGTCGTTTTCCGCAGCATAGTTTGTTTATAGTTCCTATCGTTGTTTTTTTTTCAGCGAAATCGCCTCCAATAACATTGATTCCAGCTTCAAATCGAAACGCCTAGAGTTAGACTAAAAATACATAAAATAAAATAAAAAAAACAACGAAAATGCTAATTTTGTGGTATACTTTTATTAAATAAACGTTAATTTACTTTTGTCTGTGAATTTTGTATGTTCAATAAAATGTTAATATCATTAATGTTGTTCTTTTTTTTTTCGTTTTACAAAACTAAGGATGTTGCTTCGGACAAATTAACGCGCGAAATTTTCTGCCATCAATTTTCAAAATAGTAAATCGAATCAAAGCAACTAAACAAATTAGGAAATCGAAACAATTTTCGGTACCATCTGGCAAAAGGCAATTTAAAAATAACATGGGTTGAATTAAGGAATTGTTGGGTTTTCATTTTTTTTTGTTTAATCTCAAACGAATTTTTTTAACTTTTTTTTCATATTTTCGTTTTATATTTATTGAATCGATAAATGAAATTAGTGAAGAAAATATTGCAAAAAGAGTAAATACAAAATGTTTGAATTTAACTGCAATTTCTTCACAAAATATCAAAATAATTTACTGATATTTGATTTCACCACTTTCATTTTTAGCGATTCATTACAATGTGTGCCCCAAATTTGGTTTGGAACATTTGTTTTTCTTGTGTTCGTCTGTACCAACCATCAATCCATGCATAATTACTTATCATGCACCCCCTCATTCAATCTACTACATTGGATTTAATTGTCTTAATAATTTAAATATTGATGATTTTGATTGAATTGCTGTGATTTTAATGGTTGGTCAAACATTTTTCTCACATTTTTTTTTCTTCTTCTTAAATTTTCCGCAGTTCGATACATAAAATATTATATTATTCTTTCACATTTCATCTTATAGAAATTTCTTATCTAGTTATATTATATTTATGGAATTTTGTAAGAGAATAGAACAAAACAATTTGTAATATCCTTAGAAAGTCATTGTTGTTGGGACCACACATTATTTGAAAAACAAAATTATTTCCATTTATTTTTCCTTTTTTTGGATTTCCAGCATTTGTTTGTTCATTTGCGTTTTTTGAATTTAAAAAAAAGAAGAAGAATTAATTGTGTTCGCTTTGTTATATAAATCAGTTTGATAAGCATTTGTGTGATTTATCATCGATTTAGCTTTTATTTACATGCAAATTTCAGGTGTTTAAGCTTCAATAAATTAGTCAAAAAAGTTAGTATCTTTAAAATAACTACAGACAAAAAAAAACTTAATAGAGGAATAAAGACAATTTTTCAAAACACTGACAATATGTTAATGCAACGACATTTTGAAACAATAACACAAGAGAGAAAAAAAAATCATATGAAACATGACACTGTATCAGCGGAGTACATTTTAAAATTTGTTCATGTTTTTGTTTTGTTTTGTTTGATACATATAAATAACGAATTCATTTGCAAATGAAAAATTGTCCAACTAACTTTTCCTACATTGCCTACACGCCTAACCTACAGTTAAATAATTTCATACTTATGTTGTTCGTTACAATTTCATTTGTTGTATTTGATTTTGTGAACAAGGCAAAAAATGGGAAAAAAAAGAACTCTCTCTCTCTCTAACTCACTCTTTTAAGCTTGATTAGTTTCTTTCGGTAAAAATTAAAATATAGATTAATGCGATAGAAAAAAAAACGAAGAAGAAAACAAAATAATAATAAAAGAAACAAAACAAAAAAAAAGCGAATGTGCGAATACAGAATCGCATTAGATTGGTGGCAGGGCCCAAAGTGTTGCCGTTTTATCAGCTGACGTGGATAAAAATGAGAAATCAGTTGGATGCCAACGTCCTGATATCACTTTGTCTGTGTGCTGAGCCACAACCACTGATGGTAATGGCATCGTAAGGTCGCCTTGTAAATCAGTCAACACCAATTTATTGTCATAACCACCGGTTAGCAAATAATATGCCGATGGTGAAAATCGTATTGATCTGAAACCAAAAAAAAAAAAATCATCATTAAATCATAGTCAGAACCACTAAATCGAATTAAATGATGATATCATACCTGATATCAGACGAATGTGGTTTGAAACATTGAATGGGACGATTTCCACGAATATCATATAAGACACATGAACTGTCTTCATGACCAGACACCAACAATCGTCCAGATGGATCCACACAGACACTTGTTACCGGAGATCCCTGTCGTGATCCAGGTACTGTGGCCGGAGTGACTGTGTTCACACAGCCACGAGTTCTTAAATCCCAGAATCGTACGGTTTTATCCTGAGACAGAAAGAGAAAAATTATTTTGATTGAAAATAAACAGATACGTGAAATGAATTGATTAACGAACCTGTGAGCCAGACACAAACATAGCACCGCCCCAATTATACAAGGTTAGTATGTGTCCACCGTGGCCGCTGAGCGCTTGGAATGGTGTTGATGTAGCACAATCAGTAACATAGATTTTACAATCACCGGCACCGCCACTGATCAATAAACTGGTTTTATTTGTGCTGTCTTCGAGGAAACAGAGGTCACGAACGGTACCATCATGCATTGTCAATTCGATCTCTTTGCCTTCCAATTGCTTTTGTACTTCATTGTAGCGCATCAATTTTACGGTCTTGTCATTGGATCCGGTCGCAACTAAATCACCCTGTGGTGACCAGGCCATACAATAAATTGAGCCCTTATGATGTTTTGTTCGCTTAAACAACACGGTTGGCTGATACGTTGTATGCTCTTCTCTGTGAATAAATCGCCATAAATATTGATGATTAAAATTTAAAAAACAAAACATTTCAAATACAAAATGATGAATTCAACACGCCGAGAAGCAAAAATAGGATAAACACTTTATGAATCTTATTTGTTCCGAATGTGCGTGTTTTCAACGATAAAAACTGTCTAGGCTATTGGCTATTAAAAAAATACTTGCACATATTTTACGTGTTATTTTCACTTAAGAAATGGAAAAATCTCGATGTTCCACTTAAATAATAATGGAGTTTGTCCTATTTTTTTTCTTCTTCTCAGATTTATGTGTGTGTATTTATGTAAAAGCAATACATTTGTATAAAATATCATTTGCATGTCAACAACAAGTAAGACACATTCGAGATGAATTGATGAAGAATGCAATACATTCACAATATACATAAGCTTCGATTTGATGATGTTAAATGTTTAGATTTAATGGTTACAAAACAATTGAGCTGGTTTCCGTTAAAAATGGGCTCAATGTGATTTGCATAATAACAATATATCTCTTCTGGCCTTTTCATAAATTTTAATCCAATAATTTTGTTTTTTTTTTCTTCAAAAATTCTTTGGACCATTTCTCATGCATAAGCTTTGTTTTATTTTATTTTTAGTTTTTGGTTTGTGGTGATATGCGATAAAGAATAAAGTGCGAAACAAAACGTGTGCGGCAGTAACAATATTTAAACAAAACATTATTTCAACCAAAGTCTGAACAGAACATGAATTTTGATGTTTGTTGCCAAAATGAGTCTCGCAAGTACAAACTACAATTTGTAACGATTTAAAAGTGTGTATTGAATTGTTTTTTTTTTGTCGACAAAATCAATATGCAAAAAAAATGACGATTTTTAATTCGCTAACAAATGTTGTAGTCATGCGATTTGAGTTTTTGAATGAAACATAGTATAGAAACAAAGCCAACAATTAAACAAGATGAAGTATCAGCAAAATGAGAGAGAAGAAAATAATAACAACGTTTGTGTAGAGCAGTGAAGAGGCTCACACAAATCAAACTAACCTTAGTGAATCCAGCATACTAGAACGTTTTTATTTAATATTTTTTGTTTGTTTCAATATTTTTTTGCATGTATTATTGTATGTAATTCAATTAAAATGAGTCAATCAATTGAGTCGAGTTTTGTGATTTTTTAATTCAAGGGAAGAAGAATTCAATTTGAATTGTTTTGGTTTGCAATTATTATGTTCATGAGTGCGAAGAACATGAAAAGAAACGAGAATGATAAAAAAAACATTATTTGTATTAGAAATGGAATAATTAGTTGTGGTGTAACTGGGAAAAGAACAGCGTTTAATTGTCAAATGTGTGTATGTGTGAAACAAAAGAAGAACCCAAAACTAACATACATGTACGCAATGGTAAACAGCAACATAAATATTGTAAGAGAATGCCGTTAATTAAGTAAAAAAAACAACAACAACAGACGAGGGTTTAGTTGTTACTGTTGGCTAATGCCCACAACTGGAATGAAAATAATTTGCAATGCTGAGCATGTATGCGTTAAAACTCTTTTTAGTTCGTTCTTTTATGGTATGTATTGCCGATTACGTGAGCTATGGACGGTTTGCACGGCTTATAGTTGCATATTTCATTTGTGATGCATACAAGAAACAGGAAAATGATATAATTACCACTCACGTTATATAGACGTATACTCAACAAAGCAAATAGACTAGATTATATTTCCATGTTCTTTAATTTGCGGTAGCCATCAACGTAGAAACTAGCGCCACAATATTATTTAAACGTGGTATGAACAGTGTCCAACCATGATAGAATCGATAGATTCAGATAGTATCGGTAAATTTGACAAAATATTCTAATTCGAAGTCAACAACTCATTCATCAAAAATGGCACGTGTGGCCTTTTCTTTTGTTCAAATGTTTAATGTTAACATTTAAAATCGAATTAAAAATGATGGCTAGAAAAATGCGTGCGCTCTTTTGTGTCTCTATTTTTGTGCGTGTTTGTTAGCATCTTCATGTGTCAGTACAAATACAAAATGCCATTTGAAATGTATGTTAAACGTGTAAATGGGTCATGGACATGGGCTTAAACTTCTTGAAAGTAGAAATGTGCGGTTGAAACCAGCCTTAAATATAGATCAGAAAAAATATGAAATAATAAACGAGTTCATCAAAACATGATCATTGTACAATGGCGAAGTGAAATATAATATGACGAACACATACAAAATTACAAAGATTACACCGTTATCAGCTTATTTCAAGTATTTAATCTTTGTTCGGTTAATTGTATTGTGCTCTCGCATACTATTCAAAAGAACAACCAAACCGATTCTCTTGCCGATTTATCGCAAATGTGTGTGCGCGTGAAATGTGCCGAAGAAATGGTCGGAAGTTGATTTTCACGACGATTATATGCGGTTTGTGTGTATGTCATACCCACAATAAGCTCAGGTGAATGTGAGCAAGCATGTATTGCGGTAGGCAAATAATGAACAGAATTTTTTTTTTTTTTTTTTTTTTTTTTTAATAGGGAAGCACGAATCAATCCAGCCTCGATCATTCATAAATTTGATTGACGAATCCAATAAATTAATTATATTATTATCGAATAAATCAGTTTGGAAACGTGTCTTACACATGTTTGATGTGTCCACCGTTGTAATTTTTGTCTGCGATTTGTTACATTAAGCTGGTCATAAGTTATAAGAAATTCAAGCACATCGTCAACCACAAAAAGTTTAATTCACCGTTTTTCACCATTCGCATTTTTCATTGCCGCAAATCCGTAATCATTGACATTCTTTGAAGCATCAAAGCAGCTTTTCATGCCAATTAAATTAGATCGCATCATGCGTTACAAGACTTGAATGTCTCGAATATTTCTTCTTTTTCTTTTTAATTCCATAATTTCCATGATGAAAATGATCACCAGCTGCTCCTCACATGCTAATCTATGTGATCATACACACGTTATTATTGATCGTTATTTCACGTTAATGTTATTTGATCAATTCGAATGTTAATGCTCAGGCATACTGGTGCCGTCGCTGTCATTGTAACACCTTATCTTTTTCAACACATCGGAGTTGTTGTTTCTTTTATGTTGGTTGCCGTTTCATTCTTTTTGCACCGTAAGAATCATGAAATTATGAATAAACCCATCGGAATTTCTATTCAATGCAATTAATGGTGATTGTTACATGATCAATCAACGGCTCTATAAATTATGTTGACCATTCGGTTAGATTATAGAATTTTAAAATTGGGTTAAATGTTTCAGCATTGGCACGGGTCAGAATAATAATAAGTGATAGTCATCATTTTCTCGACGAACGTATCGCATTTTATAATTTTCCATCTTCGATTATTGTTCGATTTTGTGAACAATTTTGAATATGAATGAAAGAGGCGAGTGTTTCCAATGTGCCACTGTTTCGGATATATTTACCTGATTTCTGATAGTGATGGATATTCACATATCCGGAATGTTTTTGAATTCGAACCAACTGAATAGACACGTCCATTTGGATGGAACTCGGCACAACGAACGGCTTGAACATCTTCCAATGTTGTGACTGCTACAAAGCGTGGTCGACTCGGATCGTTTTGATGATGAATCTGTAAAATAAAGGGAATTCATTATGAAATGATCTTATAAAGTATACTAAAAGATTGTCATTTCTCTTGGCCAAACGCTTTTCATATGCATCAAGGTCATGTTTTTTTTATTGCTTTGTGCTTTGATTACTTTCAATTATTATTTAGTATTAATGTGAATATTTCTCAGTCGCATTCTCTTATTGAGAACGGTATATTTTTATTAACAAAAAAAACCGCGAACAAACGAATGTAAATTCATCATTCGTTAATAATTCTAAACAATGCATTCATAAAAAATCTATGCGCATTTTTGTTAACAAACGAAAAAACTTGGATTTTTTTTTTCAATTTGGAATTGCTATTTCTTTTAATGCAAAAATACAAAAAAAAATCAAGAACCTTAAAAAAATATCTGCACGCTACTCAAACTATTTTGACAAAAGAAAAATGTAAACAATTTGTGATTCGATTTTACGTTTTTCTTTCGAGAAAACGAAAATCACAAATGTTTACAATTCCAGCACACAAAAATCCTATTCATTCGAATTAAAAAAAATAAAATCGGGTTTTTTCAATGGTGGAGCGAAAAAAAATTGGTAACAATGAATTGAAATATGAAAACAAGCATCATTTCACCGATTTATGGCCGTCAAATGTGATTGAACGCTTAGAGAATGGCATGAATAAACACTTTCATCTACAAAATCGAAGACAGTTGACTTTGTTGTTGTTTAGTCGAGCCGATACTCGGAAGCATTGAAATACAGTCATCAAAATGTTGATTTATAACCAAACAATTGTTACACATAGCGATTTAATTGAATGTCCGCAATCAAAATTGCAAACGAAATGGCTAAAGAAAAAACCCCTTCAACATGTTTCATTCACAATTAATTTCATTTTATCAACATTCGATTCGATTCGCATTGTTAATGTGACTGAAGAAAAAATAACAATCTCGTTTTTACAACATGTTCATGGCGTCAATCATAATTTAAAATGCAATTTTGATGGTTATCAATTGTGTTCCTTCAATTATTAATTTTTTTCTCTTCCGAGCCCACTGCCAATCTTATACGGAGATCCGTTCATAAATTTATCTTTTGTATTACTCAATCTATTCGACAATCATGACTTCATTACATGTTAAATATTGGTCAACCAGATGGTGTTTAATATCAGAAGAAGAAAAAATACCCGACATAAAGTGAAAAGCGAAAACCATTTCGCCAATGAGATTGAACGATAAGCTGTGTTGTCGGAGAGCAAAAGAGAAATGGCAAATCACTCATTTCATTATTTTACACTATGTGGCTACTACATGTTGCGATTGCGCTATTGAACGAAACTTATCAATTTTGCCTATACCACACGCAGCGAACGAACGAACTCACTTACAATTTTCAAGTATTGTTGATGTTCAATTGTGAAAAATTGCATGCGGTTCTTTTCCGCTTTTTTTTCCCCAGTATATTTCCGAATTTAATCATCATTTTATGGGATTATTTTTAAAAATAGAAATCAATTGAAAAATGTTGAACGATGATGGCTGAGAGCTCACCGAGTGACGAACTGGATTTGAGTCCAAACGAAATGAATGCAACAAACAGAAAAGTCATCAATCAGTTTTATTGTCTATTTTGGTTTGCAACCGAAAAACAACAAATTGCCAACTTCCAAACATTAATTACCAACGAAAAACGGAAACATTTCAACCGAACCAATCAACCAAAGAAACTTGTTTTGTCCAGTGCAATGGCTTAAACCAGTTCAATTCGACTCTTTGGGAACGTCAAATGTATCATTTGGAGCATCAGTTCAATTAAAGCTAATCCAAAAAAAAAAAAAAACAACAAAGAAATAGCATTTTATCTCGAATTTGATCCATTTTCCTTGGGTATCAATTTTGTTTTTTGCAAAAAATATATAAAATGAGGATTGGGGCCGAATTTCTTACTTTTATTAAATAATTGGCAAATGCTGTGTCACACAGTTGAAGAAATTTTATACCGTTTTTGCAGCAATTCGGAAAAAAAATTAGTATAAAACAGAAAAAGATCTCATTTGTCGCTTTCTAATTGCAATAATAATTCATATTTCTTTCTACGGAGACAGTGTATGAAGCAAAGCATGGTGTATTTGTGTGCACGTTGTTTAGCTAACATGTTGATTCTTTATAACACTCGGACCAGAATGAAAGCAAAACGGTTCTTTTCGCTAATACCATTTTTGTGTTTTTGTTGTCTCTCTACTCTTTTTCAACTCGTTCGTTTCACATTTACACTAGTATCCGTTTCGAATGTTATTCTCTTTCTTTGGCCCACGGTTGAGAAAAATAGTGCAATTTATAATTTAGTATAGTTTTAATGACGAAATAATACCGTCTTCATAGCAATAATTATGATCAAATGACATCTCACGAAAGGCACAAATTACCCAGAATGAGAATTGCTGAAAGTCATTCTCATACCAAACCGAACATTGTTGCGTCGAAAGAATCGAGCTTTGAATGCTCAATTCAATGGCTTGAAATTATATTTACGAACTCATAGCCCATGGGGCAAAATTAATCTAATCCAAAATTATAGCCCGAAGAATAAAAAAAACATCGTATTTTCAGTTTGCTTAATATTTTCATCTTCCGATTGTTGTTCGGCCGGCCAATGTCGGTCAATTCTCTTTTTCCAATGTAATAAATAATATTGCACCACTTGTGTAATTATTTGAATGTAAATAACACCGTTGTCAATAAATCAGATAAACTTCATATCTTGATCTACATTAAACGCTATGAAAATAAGAGTGTATTCATTACCATTGAGTCAAAACATGTCCATTTTCCAGTTGACTAACCTGCCAAAAGTGAATAACATAATTAAATTTATTCGCTGGAAAATTCGCCCACCGTCCGAAATGTATCGAATTAATAAAAAGAATTCAAAAAGTTAAGGAACCGAAACGATGTCGTGTGTATACATTTCAATGTGATCACACATTTCGATCTTCTTTTATGTAATTGCATTTTCGCGTTGATTTATGTTGTTTACACATAATGCACAATGGTACGCATAGTTAGTCAGTTGATTCGATTTATCGAACATCTTAAGAAGCTACCAAACGTGAAGATATTTACCGATTATATACAAATTTACACATTGCCATTGAACGACGCCAATTCATTTGCCGGTTTCCCATGAGTTTAACTTCGTTTTACGTAATATGACAACCACATCCGTTCAATTCGCTAAAACGACACTTTTTATACACATCACATCAGTGTTGTGGAATATTTTATTTGTGTGTTACAAAATGTCGAGTAGCGAAATAAAAAAACACAGAGAGAGAGAGACAAAAATGGAGATGTTGGAAAGAAAACGAACACAAAATCTGGACCAACCAGATCAAAGCGCGTCCAACGAATAGTCGAAAAAGGTAATGAGATATGTGGCGTTAAAGTATTTCCAGGTTAATGATGCTTTGTTATGATTTTATTTCAAAGTTGCTCATGCCCGCCCGTTTACGCATTTCGTCAGTTTCTTTTTAATATCTCTACTTCCAAACACTTCCCATGAAATTCATAGCATGAATCATTCGCACAAGTAACAACAGTAAACAAACAAAAAAACATACACACATCATTTTGCGAGAAATTCTCCATAAATTTTAGTTGTCTTAACAGATTTTACGAGGGGAAAAAACGTGTGAGCTTCAACTGATGGTACTCGTACAACAAGCACATTTTCTAAGATAATGTTCTGTTTGAATACACTTGCTTGGCATTTTGATACCATATTGCTTGATCTGTTGGTTTTACGTAAAATTTGTATTTTTTTTTATTTTACGATCTTTAACATAATTTTGCATGCCAAAAACAGTGGCCATAATATTCATTATTTTATGGCCGGTAATTGCAGCCAAAAACAGTTCAAAACTACAGCCGGATCTGTTTCATCTTTCTCTTTTGGCCAATGAATAAATATATCGCTTTAATGGTGCATTGTATGCGAGCTCTCTGACAAACAAAGCAGATTACATTGAAAGCAGATCATCTCCTCTTTGGATTATGTAAAATCGAATTCGATACAAAATAATATTAAGATGATATGTTCACTTCGATAAGCCTTGGCCACATGCATTCGCGTGATACACGTGCGAATATGCTTGACACATCAAATCCGTTTTTCAATTGAATGGAAATGAAGGTAAAACCGCTAAATCAATAAAAAATTTACGTAATTTGAGAAAATGGCACGTAGTCCGCAAAAAAAACGAACAAACGAAATGAAAATCTTTTCTTTTCGACAAGAGAGACGCAAATAATGAGACGCATTGTGAAATTCGGTGTGACATTCACTTTTAAAATATATAGTCCATTTGGCTCAATTTATTTGCGTGTTAAATACCATTTAAAATGTAAAGATTTAATTAAGTTTTTTTAATTCTTTTCTGTCTCATTTGATGGCTTTTATTTTGATCTAATGTGGCTATTTTTATGTGAAATCGTAAAGTGTTTCAGTGTGACACGAGGTTAATATTTTTGTATACTAGACATTTTATTTACAAGTTTTTCGTTCAATTCACATGAAAAATTAAAAAAAAAACCTCATCGATATTTGCATGGAAAATATGTTTTGAAGTGATCTTTTTTTTTAAATTTAAACGGTTAGTTTGAATGGGGTCAACGATATTCGATTTGCGATGGAATTGAAAAGGCGCCGAATTTCTGAATAAATGAAAATGAACAGCAAAGTACTAAGATGCTCTGCTGTGAAATTGAAGATAAACAAAATTAAAATCAAAAACAATCACAATCACAACAAAGCATTTTGCCCGAGCGGGATTGAGAAAAAAGTGAAATTCGTGTGTTTTTTTTTCGTTTTGATTTTCGAAAGGAATGTGGCTCAAATACACATTCATACACAATCGGAATGAAGTCGCTTTTATAAACCGACAGTAAAATCAATTTAATATAAATATTGGGTCTTTTGAGTGATTTCTTTTGCTGGAATATAGAAACG